GGTCATTTGATCGTTATGTTACGACGTCGGCGATGGAGCGTTAAATTGGATAATTAGCCGTGGCCCCGGGAACTTGGCGCTTTTCAATCGAATCGCTGGTTGAAACGACCAAGGAGAAGAAATTCATCTTATCTAAACGAAATTGTCATTCTCAATTAGGGGAAAGGTTCTACATGAAGTTTTGGCCTGCTTTCCTAACCCTAATTCTTATTAGGACTCTCGTTCACACAGGGGGGTCTTCTCGACCTTCTCCCAGTTCGAACCTGTTTGAGCATTATTTGCTTACTTGGATTTCAATTAGTGGTTTTCCACCCGACAAAAAGCGACAAGCACGCCTCTTTCATCGTCCTTGGAAAACCTTCGCAGCGGTGCTGTTCGAAATAGTCTGTAAGTGGCACCATTGTGTGCGCGTTTTTGCGATCAAGTAATGCCAATAGAAAGTTCTTTGTTGGTTTCAGTGTAAGACATACACTGGGGCATCGCTTGAAGCGTGTGTAAAAGTGATGACCTCGATGGGCGCTTGCTACTCTCCAAGTCTCCTCCTGACGGTCTCTCTTACCCCTTACCTGCAACTGGGGAGATGATATCAAAATCGGACCAGTTCCACATGGTTGGGGCACCGAATGGTACTCGTGAGAAGCTTGCAAAGTGAAAAAATGCCTCCCTCCTATCCGAACAGCGCCTAGAATCTGCACAAAGTGTAAAAGAACCGTAATAAGTGTACATTACTTTAAAGCAAATGCCTAGTTAAACTTTTTATCACTTTCAGCCTCATAGGCGCTTGTCTGCAAATAATTTTGGCTGCTCATCAACATCGTCCAAGGGCCTGGTGGGGGCACCAAACGGTACTCAGCGAAGCTTGACCATCTTGTGAAGACCTGCAAATTCCTGTGACAAAACTTGGTTCACTCGCACCATTTTGCCGCTTCACAGGAGTTTACAGGTCTGACCAAAGTAGGACCTTTTAGTTAACATAAACTGACGAAGAGCACTGGCGAAAGTGCAAAATGGCCCTCTAAGCCGAATAGCGCTCGAAAATGGCTGCCGCTGTCACCGAAATTCTCTGCGCGCATTGCTACTTCTCCACCTTGCAAGGAATGAGCCTACTGCCCCATAGGATGGAGTGAGTTGAATGCCTTAATTTTTTCGAACGCTGAAGCAAAGCTGGTCTGAGGGCTATCGGGTGCTTTAAACTGGAATCGATCAAAGAAATGTCCTCTGGTGTTTTATACATTTACAACGGTGCAATTCTTTGAGAGAATACAGCTCGATTTAGTTCGTTTTACCCCCTCCACTGATTTCAGTTTAACTGCAGGTGCATTTTGGATTGGGGGGTGGAAGAGGGGCGTCAGCGAAGCTTGTCCACCATGAGAACTGTGAATTTTAAAAGCAAAGTAGCTCATTTGCGTGACCTGCTACTGCTTAACATGAACCAGTAAAAGGAAAAGCGAATGTCCCTCCCAAGGCGAGCAGCGTCAAACTGTATGTTAACAAGAGGTTTCATCCAATCAGGCTTCCAATGAAAGAAATGATTGGCTTTGGAAATTCACCGTAAAAAAATATATGCAACCTGAGTGCTTTCATTCACACCAACTCCAAAGTTGCTTGTAATTTGTATTTATTGCATACCACTATTGTATTGTACTTTTGCGTTTTCAGGAAGCTGTGAAAATGGGACCGCCTATGAAGTATTGATGAGATTGATCGAGTTGATCGATCGTCACGTACCTGGTAGAGCCTTTTCACGTCCGCTATGAATTCGGTGCATGTCGCTGAACCACTGTAGTAGACGTCCACCCATTGAGATCAGTTCCGCATGAGAACACTCTAGAATACTGCTATACTTGGTTCTGTCAAAAATTGAGCACAAATCAATAGATGTCTCGTTTTGAGACACACTTCTCTTCTGTCTTCTTTCTTTGAATTCACATTTCGTTCTTGAATGACTGCACCTCACTCACATGTGCCTTTCATAATGATTTCCTAATTGCTTCATGTAGAGTTTATACGGTATTGATTTTTCCGCCAACTATGAGTCTTTTACACGGGTTCTTTCACATTTTACTCTCTTTGACGCAATGGTATAAAAAATGATTTTCGTGTTCTGTGGATTTAATAAAATTTATGCAATGGTCCATATTTTGCAATCTGGCTAATAAAAAGCTGGCAGCTTCTATAGCGACCGAACGATTATGATTTACGCTTTCTAAGAAGAGGAAAGTGAGCGCGTTCGTACATTGCGATAAAGCTGCTCAATCCGATCACGCGATCCCAGCTGTCGTATCGCGAAGTATGAACCCGCTCTAGTAAACGGGGTAACGCGGTGTGGCTACTTAGGCCTTTCTCACTTGTTTTGTCTTGCCACGTCTCTTAAAAGCACTGTAGGGGTATGTGACAAGAGGATCGCAATTTGCCGCGCGTCGCATGCGACGTCTAGCAC